AGAGGGTGGGGGGGGCAATCCCAGGCCCTTTTGGGGCTTAGTGCAGTGGGGGCACTGGTTGAAGAACATTCCTCGTGGACCCCGGACCCTAAGAAGGTGAGGAAGTGAGTCTTCAGAGGCACAGAGGAAAGGCTGGTCTGACTGCAAGTACTTCCTCTGAAAGGTACGAGACGGAGCTGAACCTGCGCATGAGCGTGGAGGCGGACATCAACGGCCTGCGCCGGGTGCTGGACGAGCTGACGTTGGCCAGAGCCGACCTGGAGATGCAGATCGAAGGCCTGAAGGAGGAGCTGGCCTACCTGAAGAAGAACCATGAGGAGGTGGGTTCCCAGCAGGGCCACTCTGGCTTCCCAGGGCTCCTCAGGACACCTGTTTCCTGTATGTTCTGACCACGGCCACACTGGCCACACTCTCAGCATGGCCCTGGGTGTGGAGCATGGCTTCCAGGGTGCCAGCAGGGGATGGTGGCAATCCGCTCTCTCCCCCAGGGCCAGCTCCTAGGTCTGCACCCGGAAACCAGCCCCTTCGGCCTGCGGGGTTGGGGAATGACCTGGCCCAGGCCCAGCAGGCTCTGGGCCCTGACATGCCCACCTCTGCTCTGTCTTCCCAGGAGATCAGTGCTCTGAGGGGCCAGGTGGGTGGCCAGGTCAGCGTGGAGGTGGATTCCGCTCCTGGCATTGACCTAGCCAAGATCCTGACCGACATGAGAAGCCAATATGAAGTCATGGCTGAGAAGAACCGGAAGGATGCTGAAGCCTGGTTCACCAGCAAGGTATGAAGGGGGAAGCAGGTGCCCTTGATGGGAGGGTGGGGGCGGGGGTGGCAAAGAGAGAGGGCTTGATGCTCCAAAGCGAAGGTCTGCCTCCGGGCTGATTCCCTCTGCCACCTCTCTGATTGCAGACTGAGGAGCTGAACCGGGAGGTCGCTGGCCACACAGAGCAACTGCAGGTTAGCAAGACGGAGGTCACCGACCTGCGCCGGACCCTCCAGGGGCTGGAGATCGAGCTGCAATCTCAGCTCAGCATGGTAGGTGCCCTCTTCTCTGCGGGATGCACACTCGTGCCCTTGCGGACTTGGGCAGCCTGGACAGGGGCACAGGCTCCGCTGAGTCACCTTGTCTCTCCCTGCCCTCAGAAAGCCGCCCTGGAAGGCACGCTGGCGGAAACGGAGGCGCGCTACGGGGCCCAGCTGGCCCAGATCCAGGGGCTGATCAGCAGTATCGAAGCCCAGCTGAGTGACGTGCGCGCTGACACCGAGCGGCAGAACCTGGAGTACAGGCAGCTCATGGACATCAAGACGCGGCTGGAGCAGGAGATCGCCACCTACCGCAGCCTGCTCGAGGGCCAGGATGCCTACTACAACAACCTGCTCACCACCAAGACTGCCTGAGCCCAGCAGCCTCCGGGGCTTCCTGCTTCCAGCTGAGGGATGGATGCGCCTGGGTGGGGGGAGGGGAGGGGAGGGACCCTTACCCCTGGCTCTTCCTTTGACCTGTCAATAAAATGTTATGGCTCAAGGGAGGAAGGGCATCGGGTTTGTTTCTTCAGCCCATGGAAACGGGCCAGGCCTGGGGCCTTGTTAGGTTTTATTTGGACCAGAGTCCACCCTGTCCCAGGAAAGGGAAGGGAGGGTGCTCACAAACTCTGACTGTTCGGGTCATTCTTGTTGGCAGAAGTCTTCATTAACCTGTTTCTTAAAACAAGCTTATGAAATAAGCATTGCTCCCATTTCACAGAAGGGTAAGCTAAGGCTCGAAGAGGTGCGATGGTTTGTCGTATATGTAACTGCTCCAACACATGGCAAAAGTGGGATTTTTTTTTTTTTTTTTTTGCTTCCAGGTTAGTTTGCTTTCAACTATATTCCTCCAAGGGTTGGTGTTTGTGTGTATGAAATGAATGGTTACTGAACACCTCCTATGGGCCATTTAATCAAAACAACCCTAAAAGGTAGTAAGTATGAGTTGCATCTACGGAGCAGGAAACAGGCTCAGAGGTTAAGTACCTTGTCCAAGGCCGCACAGCAATTTTACGGGGCGGAGTGAAGACTAGAATCTAGGTGGCCTGATTCTTAACTCAGTGCTAAGCCGGCACCAGGTCTCCTAGGTTCCACACCACTTGTGCCAGGTCCTCAGGACATTTCGGTCTGGCTCCAGGTGAAGCCTAGGACAGGGATCCCCTGGGGCAGTTCCTGCTGACACACTTTTCCACCTGAAGGAGGAGACACTGGGGCTTTGGGGTGAGAGCCCGAGTAATGGGGGCAGGCATCCACTCAGCAAGGCTGGGGAGTGCCTGCTGGCGTGCGTCTGTGTGCAGGCGCTAACACATTCAGCCGTTCCTGGGCAGCCCCACATAAGCCCCTTTCGCCCACCAGCCCATACCTGGGCCCAGAGCCTGTAATGGGACCCACATGGGACCCAGACCTCCTACACAGACCCCCCAACCGGGCTGGCCTGGAGCCGGGCCAGCCGGAATGCAAGTCCCAACTTCCTGGTACAACTCTGCCCTTGGGTGGGTATGGTCCTGCCCCTGTGGTTTATAGCTCGGTTGCCAAGAACGGAGGCCAATTAAAGGTAAATAAGTCCCACTTGGCCTTGGTCGAGAGGTTCAGGCTGAGGGCATCTGTTCAGGTCCCATGGCTCTGACAGCTGGCTACCCTGTGAGGGAGAGGGGCGAGCGAGGAACACTCTCCTCCATATCATCCCCCCTCCTTCACCCAAAGTCTGTAGGGAAATGGAATGCTTGTTGCTGGGAGCCCAGCACTGTGCTAGGGAGACCTGTGACCCTGCCATTCCCATGCCAATCCTGAAGGGGGCGCTCTTCCTGCCATTGTCCTGTGGGCCTTGGAGGTTTATTAGTTTGCTGCAAACCACATGGCTGGTGACTCCAGAGCCCAGCTCTTCCCTGCTGAGCCCTGGGCCAGGAGCCCTTTCTGCAGCTTCCCTAGCTGTGCTGCTCTGGCTTGCAGCACCCACAGCCCCCCTCTCCCACTTCACTTCTCAGGAGGTTTTGTAACTACAGACCTGAGACCTGGCTGCACCCTCAGGCTGGGACTTCCCAGAGATACTTGTCCCCAGTTCATGAAAGCCTCTGTTGTCACAGCTGAAACCCTCCCCCATGCCCCAGAGGCCCCTGGAATGTGGCTGGGGGCGGGGTCTGGGTCCACACAGGTGGGGTAGGTGACTGGGTCACAGGTCTGGGTGCTGGGAATGAAGCAGTCCTTTGTGCATGTGAGTGGTGGAGAGAGGGCAAGGGCGGGGACACTTAGGCCTCAGTCTGAGAGCTGAAACTAGGGGCTGACATAAGTGGCTGCCAATGGGAAATGGGAGAGAGGGAGAGAGGGCAAGGGGGAGGGGATTTGGGGGGCACGGTCTTTCCTTCCCTGCGGGTCACCTGGCAACTGCAGTTTGCAAAGCACTTCCTGTCAAGCATATCGCTCCATCCCTGTGAGTCAGACTGGGCAGGAGTTCTCTCTACTTTCCGGATTGGTAGACTGAGGCTCAGACAGAGGAGGCGCGATTACCCAAAACCACACACCTAATAAATGAGAAAGGAAGAATTCCAAGGGGGTCCCTAAGCCCCAGGTCATGTGCTCTGTCCCTAGCATCTCCCTTGGGGGTGGGTGGGGGTGGGTAGTGGCCACCAAATGCTGACTGTGGCCCTGTAGCTGGTGTCCGTGTCAAGGCCTAGCTTTTTAAATTATTATTATTATTGTGGTAAAACAAGTAACATACATCTTACCATCTTAACCGTTTTTAACTGTACAGTTCAGTGGCATTAAATACATTCAAATTGTTGAGTCACCATAACCACCATCCATCCTCATAACTCTTCCCTCCTAACTCTTGTAAAACGGAAACTCTGTACCTATTAAACAATAACTCCCCATTCCCTCCTCCTCCCCACCCTGGCAACCACAATTCCACTTTCTGCCTTCATGATTTTGTAAGTACCCCATAAAATGGGAAAATGGCCCAATTTTGAATCAGAGGTTTT